GAGGTGGAATATTGAGTATGGTTTCCATAGCAGCGGTAGGAGTGCTGCGCATAGCACCTGTGATGCAGAGACAAGCTAATCTCTGGAGTTTTGAAAGCTCCATTATAGCTGATCTCTGTTCAGTCTTAGGCCACCAGACAAGCGATCCATATACAATCATTGGTCTCACCACAGCAGTATACAGCCAATGTACCATGCGTGGTTTCAGTCCCCATGTGTTACCAATCGCTCTCCGAGAAGCCATTAGTGCCATTTTGCCTTTGCTGACAGTTTTTCGCAGTTGAGTATTCCAGGTTAGCCTAGCATCTAGGGTTACTCCCAGATACTTAACCTCCTGTGTCATACTTAGCTGTGTGTCAAAAAGTCTGGGAACTTTTAGTTTGTCCAGTTTCTTCTTTTTCGTGAAGGCCACAAGTGCAGTTTTACTAGGATTGACCCTGAGGTCTGCCTTTCTGCACCAGCCCTCTACTATCTTCAGGGCTCTCTGCATCAAGTCTGAAATAATTTCAGGATGCTGCCCCTCTACTAGAATGACAACATCATCTGCATACCCCTGTGAGTAAATTCCTACATTGTTTAGTTTTTTCAGGAGTTCGTCAATAACCAGATCCCACAGCAGGGGAGAAAGAACTCCTCCCTGTGGGCAACCCCTAGAAATCGTCACCTCCATGGTTTCACCAAGCAATGTGGATTCCGCTGTTCTGTTGTGTAGCATGTTTTTTATCCACCGACATGTGGTGTCTTCCACGCCACGCTCAACAACCGCTGCTACCATGGATATGAAGGGTGTGTGGTCGAATGCTCCGCGATAAACCTACCGACAGTATCTGATGCAACACTATAATGGTTATCTACTAAAACAATAAACAAAGTACATAGAGAAATAGATGACCGTACCGTGAAAACAGCGATTATAATTGCTAACACAAACGAGCTTATCTTGAAACCTTTGCAACTAATCTGCATACGAAAGCCGTTGTGAATGTTTCTCACGAATATATTAATCTCAGTGTGCGTAATAGTTTATAGTTTACATTATCCAGAAATACCGTCTTCACCGTACATGTGTGTAGAAAAAGCCTGGAAACATAATACAAAGCTTATCAGTTGACGCGTTTGTTAGATGTTTTCGATTTCAACATTCGGATGAAATGAACCGAAAGTAGTGTAACGGTCTTAATTCTGAGGCCCTTACTTAGACGCCATCTGTTCAGGATATGAGACTACTCTGGTATTTGACAGGGGGGAGTTTCGAACGCCAGATTGTTTTTGAGGTAGTTTACTCTACCTGCTCTGCACAAAATATTTTTTGTACAGGGGCCCAAACTAGCAACAGTGGAGAAAGGTTCAGGGGATATACCTACCTCGGTACCTACAGTATAAAGCAGGGGTCAATGGTATTGAATCGACCTGGAATCAATGAGTAGCCAAGGTAGTGTAGGCTCTAATTACATACCCTGGGTTCAGCCTGGAATACTGGCTGCTATTTCTAGTCTGGATAATTACAGGAATCAAAACAAATATCTTTCGGGACTCTCTGGTATTTTGAGGTTAGGTCGGTAAAATTATTTATTTAAACTATTTCATCATTTCTACCTGGAGGATCGGAAACACAGTTCCGAACGAATTGAACAGATTCAATGCTTATTCATCTTTCTTTTTCCTTCGGTTTCCTTATTTCTCAATCTCGGGATTTTAGTGAGGTTAATTATATTTTCCATTCATGCATTGATGTCAGAATATCATGAAACATAGATCACCGCCTGACGGGACACAAAGCACAGACACCCGGATGCACAGGACAGGATTTCTCGAGGAAAATATGAAGAAAAATTTACAACTGGCTTGTCAGTGTCAGTCGTAAGTCAATAATAATAATCTGCAATATTGACAAATGAAAATATTGAAAATCAGTAAATAAACTATTGGAACTATTCGAAACTGAAAACAATGACAACAGAGGAAGAAATAAGAAATATGCAATCACGAAATCCGTTTATTTGCAAATTCAAAGTTCTGGATTCTTTACACAGGTCGGGTGAGTATCGGTACCTATGCAAAACAACAGGAATGAAATGAATCTATGAACAGGATGAATAACAATGGTGAAAAATTTACATGTTCAACACGAAATTACTATACAACAATACTTTACACTGATTCTGAATGAAATATATGAGAGCACTAAGAGATCAGCAAGAGAATCCGGAGCTTGAAGAGCAGGTCGAGCAGGTAGTGCAGACTTGTAGAGAAGAGAAGAGAGCCCCGAATCCCTAGCTGTCTTCAGTATTTATACACTGCTTTGGCCTTGGCACAAAGACAAGTAAATCTGGAATCTCATTGGTCAAAACTCCCACCTTGTCATGGATCATGGCCATGGCCACTAAATCTGTCCTTGGAAAGAACATGTGCACCACCAACACAAAACGCGTAAAAAATAATATTCAACCCTAAATGGGCACAGGAACAGGATCTACTACTTTTGCTTATGCTACTGAATGAATTTGGCTGGAAAATATTCGATAACAACAAAGTTAGGAGCAGTCAAACATCAAGCATTTCAACAGATAGATAATTCATCTTATTTCATATCATAAGCAAAGGGTTGGAAAATATGGAAGTCTTTAGGGTTGTAATGATGTTCATGAGAGTGTACTATCAGGAAAAGCTTTGGAAAGTCAGGAATCAATGCATTACTTAGCTCTCTCAGGTTTTCAGGTTTCGAGCTTTCGAACAGGTGAAATTCAACTAGAATCAGGCTCAGGTACTTGGATTTTGATTAAAACTAGTCTAGTAATGAAGCTGGTCAAAAACTCACAAAGTAGACACGAAAGTCCTTGTTCAAAATAAAACACCATATTCATAGCATTACATATTTGTTGTATATACTTCAACAGTTTCCGAATTCGACACTCTAACACTGGTTTCTGCTCTCCTCCACATTTTTCGATATGTGTTCCATCAGATTTTCACCAAGGTAGGTATAAAATGATGATCTTTGAAGTGAGATCGGAAATTTCACCTCATACAGTACGGTCAGAAATATTTTGAAAATGAAATGGAAACTCAAAGTCATTTCCACAATTGTTTTATAGAATGAACAGCAACAATGATGGGTGATAACGGGAAAAAAACAACTACTCTCCGTAGAACGATGAATTGAATCCTCTCATGAAAACTGATTGCAAGTGTTTCTTCCAATAATGCCGAATCATTTTCAGATTGTAGTAATTCAACGCTTGACACCTTCAGACTGGTTTCTGGCGTTTGGTCCTCAACGGTGTAGGGTAGTCACCACACTGAGAAAACTTGGCCAAGTAAATTGTTTTCTTGAAAAAAAGTCGATTGTGACAAGAACATTTTCACCTACGGTCGGAAAATATGGTACTTGCAGTAGGCAAAACTATATTTCTGCTGTAAGTGATCAGAACACTTGTTGGTATCAACCAAGTTGATATGTACTTAGAGTTCGCTAATTCTAAGTGAACACTAAACTAGTGCTAGGTTAACGAATACTCACTATTATTAAATAATTTTTCTGACATAAGATCACTTGCTCTGAGCGAACTCATGAATAAAGACAATCTATCAAGTCGATTGTTGCAGGTGACAGCTCACCTGTAGTCATAGATCTCTTTTCCGTTCGGACATCTCCGATATTATTCGAGTACCCACGCCCAACGCGATCACTGTCCAGTGTCCACGAGTCCACGGCGTCATTTCGATCTTAGCATTCGTGAAGTTAGTATACTTGCGTTCCCGCTAGTAACATTGAAATTCCAAGTCATGCAAGTACCCTTTCGAACAACTACTATATCATATTCGTATGAGAATTCTCTGTTTGTGTGCCGTGCTCTGTGGCCGTGCTCTGAGCTGTGGAGTGTTGAGTTCTCGATCTGTTCTCTTGAAGGAGATAATGAAATACAAAACTCTTCTAGAACAGTATATACATAATTGTTTCTATATATATATATATACAGGATTTTTTTCCACTTCCTATGATACTCGAAGTGGAAGGAAGTGACGATTAAAAAGTATGAAAGTTGATTCATCTCCAATGCTGGAAGGAAAAAGATAGTGAACCAGAGTGCAGTGCAGTGAGTGAGAGTACCGTTTTTCTCGGTGCATGATGCTGATATACGCGGTATCTAGTACCTCAATATTTGTCGTCAGCCTCAACTTTTTTGTATTTTCTGAATTCATTATACCTATATAATAAAATGTTTTGAATGCATGTGTTTTTGTCTCATTACCAAGGTTTTATCATTTTTCAGAGAACAATGGAGGTATTTTTTCATACTAGCTAATGACAAGTGAATAAGTCACTATTGACAAGTAAATAAGTCACTGATGACTAGTAGATAAGTCACTAATGACATGTAATTAGGCCACTAATGACTAGTGAACAAGTCACTAATGAAAAGTGAATGAGTCACTGATGACAATTGAATAGGTCACTGATGATAAGTGATGTTACTAACTAACCGTTATCACTCTGAAATTTAATGAAACAGGTCAATAGTGGTAGGTGTACATTTTCAGGAACACAAATATTCTTGTGATTATTAACTTGTTTCCTTGCCCCATATAGTATACAAGATTTTACTTGCCACTATTAAATATTCCCTTAGGGTTAGTGATTTTTTTCTCCGTGCAGACAACAGTTTCAAGATCCCCATCTAAGCGGGAGCTGACCCAACGAAAATCCAATCGGCATTTTCGATGTTCAATGGCGGCATTACGGAAACAGAATTTGACCTGACATGATTCTTACATGGGGGTATTACAGAAAGAGTAACCTAGCATAATTAATGTCGACTCTATCGGAATGCTGGTATCAGACGCTGTGATATTGACTTTCTTAGAAAATTCAGGCTTGTGTCATGGTGGCGTTGAATTCAACCAGGTTGTCGGTTCTTCTGGCTGTAATTCCAGTAAAAGAAACATGTATGATCAATTATTTCTCGCGAGCAAACCTGATCAAGGTGGGACGTGCATAATTATGATTCTCCAAGTGCGCAGCTAGGAACCATTTTCTTCAACGTGGCTATGCAACGAGGTTCTATTACAGGAGATTCATTCTCCGTGCCAGGCTTGAGTGTGTACCCCTTATCGTCACCAGGAGATTTGGGAATGACGACAAGCGATTCTGGTGGTGCCAGAATCAGAATGAAACACTGCCATATCTCCAAAACCACTACAGGATAAGCCGTACACGTCTTCATCACGTTTGTATTACTACTCCTGTCGTGGTGAATAGTCCTTCTATAGGCTATTGATGTTTTAGAACCGAATTTTTACAGATGTATTTCATTCGAAGTGATTCAGAATAGTTATTTTCCTAACAAGTGAGCAAAGTGTTACTTTTCCTCACGCATATACAGTTAGGCGAACGACGAGGAGCAGAGTTCGAATAATTTTTTGCGTGCGGAAAAGATACTTTGCGCACGTGTTAGGAACAACGTTTTTCCTACGAGCTTCATATCAGATAAAAAGGAAAATAAAAAAAAATATAACTTATTGAAGAAAGTAACTATACAACAATCACATATAACGGAAGAATATAATAATAGAAAATAACATTTTCCCTACGAGCTCAATATCAGATAACAACGAAAATAAAAAAATGTCAACTTGGATTACAATTTATTATTGAATAATTTTTAGTTTAACTTGATAAAAGAAGCTAAACAACAAACAATTACACATCAATAAAATGTAATGATAGAAAATTAAATCATTTGTTCCTAATATTTATATTGAGATGAAATACAAATATCGGGAAGAACGGTTGAAAAGTAAAAGTCAACGGCTTTTCATAGTGCATACAATAGTCTACAGCAACTAAAATGAATATAAATGTTCCATACCAGTGAGCTTTTGGGTAGTTTCACTTATCTGCACACCGTGCGGATAACACCATATCCGCACTGAGTGCGCACGCTTGTGGGAAAATGTTATTTCATAATATTTTTGGTTTGGGATATTGTTACTGTTTTGTATGTCATTTTCACATAGTTTGTCATATTAGGTTTGTTCTTGTTGAAAAAATAAACAGTCTCAAACCATCAGAAGCATGCGCTGTTTCACAGAACTATTAGTATTTTCATGTTCCGTGGAACTGCGCATGTTTCCGATGGTTTCGGAATGTTTATCTTCCTTTTGTTTCAGAAATTTCACTCGACCTAACGAGGAAATCGACAGCAATGGTTCCGTCGATCTTTTAATAGATGGCGACATTGCACAATTATGACATCTGTCAGTTTTGAAATTGTTGTGGGGGAATCCACATATATTCTTTCCAGGCTGCTCTTGCTGGTCAATAGGTTCAAGTTTGCTAGTGAAACTCCAGAATTTCTGTTTTTCCTTTTAATCAACTTAGAAAAAATAGTGACAACATTCGACATTCAGAAATTAATTTTTCATCTGACAGTTCTATCAACAACAACCAAACAAAACCGTACAATATTTTAAGTCAGAGAGAGATTGATGGAAGCAAGAAAATCTTACCTATACAGGGTATAGTAAATTCCAAACATACTCCCCCCATTGAAGTGACAACTTCAATCTTTACTTTCATGTGGTAGTGGAGATATTTTTGTGATTGCTCTTGTGAATATACCTTCAGCAGTTTTTATTTTGACCACTCTTACTTTTCCATCTGAACTCGGTATAGCTTCTACAATTCTAGCCAAAGGCCATTTTAAAGGTGGTGAATTATCTTCTTCAACAAGTACCAAATCATTGATTTTCAAATTCTCATAGGGTTTCAACCATTTTGGCCGATGCTGGAGATGATTCAAATATTCAATAGACCATCTTTTCCAGAAATTCTTTTAAATTTTAGTACATTTTTGCCACAAATCCAATCGATTTTCTGGAATATAAGTTGAATCTCTTTCTGGGTATGAGTTCCGATCAAAAAATGCCCAGGCGTTAAACTATCAAGATCTGATGGGTCACTTGACATTGGACAGATTGGCCGCGAATTTAGTATTGCCTCTATTTGAGAGAGAACTGTTGAAAGTTCTTCAAAAGTTAAGTGTGTGTTCCCTATAACGCGATATAAATGATATTTCATACTTTTAATTGCAGCTTCCCAAAGACCTCCCCAATGAGGACTTCTTGGTGGAATGAATTTCCACTGTGTTTCATTGGCCGATAGGAAATTATCAATTTCATTCAAATTATGTTTGCTTCTGAAAAAAAGTGATACTACCTTGAGCTTATTATTAGCACCAACAAAATTTGATCCATTATCACTAAAAATTATAGACGGATTACCTCGTCGTGATATGAATCTTTTTGGGGTCATAAGGAATGCTTCTGAAGATAAATTAGAAACTGCCTCGATGTGTATACCTTTAGTAACCATACACACAAAAACTGCGATGTAACATTTTTGTACAGGGGCTTTTCGTAATCGTGATGATTTGATCAATATTGGTCTACCAAAATCTATACCAACTCTGAGAAATGGTCTAGAATATGAAATTTTATCTTTTGGTAGATTTGACATGAGTTGTTGAGCGCTTTGTGCTTTGAATCTGTGACATGTAATACATTGTTTAATAATATGTTTTATTTCTCTCAAACCGTTAATAGGCCAATACCTTAATCTGATATTGGACAGAACTGTACGAGCACCAGCATGATACAATTTGAGATGTTCCTTTCGGAGTAAGAGTTTGGTGACATAGTTTTTATTAGGAATCAAAATAGGGTATTTTTGATCAAATGATATGTCTGCATTTGCTAAACGACCACCAACTCTTAATAGACCCAAATCATCAATAAATGGATTCAAAGAAGCTAATTCTTTATTCTCAATGTTTTTTTTAAGTTTTATCTGTTGAATTTCTACTGAAAAACATTGATTTTGAACTATTTTTATAATGGTTATTAAAGATGTTTTCAATTCTTCAACAGATAATGGACCATAGTTTTTTATAGAGTTGGATTTTATATTATTCTTGAATCGTAAACAGAGTGCTATTACTTTTTGTAAACGCGTGAAACAAGAAAACCTATGGAATATATCACAATCATATCTAGTAGTTACTAATACTATGTTCTTCTGTTCTGGAACTTTATCCAAATGAAAATTTGTTTCAAAGGTATTCAAATTTAAATCATATTTTGATAAAAAAATAGGTCCATGCCACCATAAATCCTCAATAAATATTTCTGGGGAAGTGAGACCTCTCGTAAGAAAATCTGCTGGATTTTCATCTGATTTGATGTATCTCCACTTATGTGATAATGTGATATCCTGAATTTCTGCAACTCGATTGACAACAAATGTTGTCCAACGAGATGGATGTCCATGTATCCAATTCAAAGATATCTGAGAATCTGACCACAAATTCACACTGTTGAATTTCAGTTCATTTTCGAATATATGTATCATCCGTCTAGTTAGTTTTGCTAAAAGTAACATACCACAAAGCTCTAACTTTGGTATCGAAACATGTTTTAATGGCGCAACTCTAGATTTTGAGCATACTAAATTACAAGTGACTTCCTTATTTGAATACACAGCTCTGAAGTATATGCAAACACCATATGCTTTAGTAGATGAGTCAGAGAATCCATGAATTTCTAATTGTAAAATATCATTGGATGCAAAAAGATATCTGGGAACTGTTAAAGTTGATAAATGGGTCATATTCTTCATGAACTCTTGCCATTCTATCAATAAATCTACGGGCAGTTGTTCGTCCCAATTGAGTTTACATATCCATATTTTCTGCATTATTATTTTTGCTACTACAATAATAGGTCCGATAAAACCTAGTGGATCGAATAATCTAGCAATTATAGAAAGGACAGTTCTTTTAGTGAAAGAATTTAAATTATTCTGCGGCAAAATAATTTTGTAACTATCCGTATTTGGATTCCACGATAGTCCTAAAACCTTATTCGCATAATTTTCTGATTTTGTAACATCATATTCTGAAATGAGTATGCTATTTTCAACTATTCCTAAGAACTCATTCGAATTAGAACACCATTTGTGTAACTTAAATCAGCCTGATTCTAACATTGTAACAAGTTGTTTTTTAACTTCTCTCAAATTCTCTAAAGTATTTGCTCCACACAGTATATCATCCACATAACATTGGTTTTTTATGGCTTCAGATGCGAGAGGAAATTCATTTTCATACATATCAGCCAATTGTATCAAACAACGAGTTGCTAGATATGGTGCACAATTTGTACCATATGTATAACTGTGGATAATTGGATGCATTTCAATTGCTCCCTGGGATTGTCTCTCCAAAGAATATTCAATAGAAATCGATGTGATGGATTGATTCTGATTTGCCGATACATTTTTTGTATGTCTGAAATCAGGACATATTTGAATAATCTGAACCTACAAAGAATATCAAATAATTCCGATTGAACTGGATATCCTTTCAACATTATATCATTTAATGATATGTTATTGGAGGTTTTCATAGAAGCATCGAATACTACCCTCAACTTGGTAGTAAGACTATCTTCTCGTATAACACAGTGATGAGGTAAGAAATATTTATTTTCTGCAGAAACATTATAAATTTCGAGTGGAACATATTTTGCGTGATTCAATGAAACGTATTCATCTATGAATGCTTTGTATTGAGAAAATAAATTTTTGTTGCTATGTAATTTTCTTTCTAATGAATGAAAACGTTTACTTGCCTGTGAGAATGAATCACCAAGCTTCAAATATTCATATGGTGTTTTGAAGAGTAAATCTACTTGGAAAGTTCCATTTTCTAGAATTTTCGTTGTGCTTGAAAATATGTCTTCTGCCATTTCATCTTCAGGAGATAAAAATTTGGTGTTTGGAACTTCTTCTAATTGCCAAAATTTAGGCAAGTTCATTTATATCAATTGTAGCACAAAACAAAGAAACACTCAATAAACTATTTTGATTTGTAATTGGACCACCTATCACCCATCCTAATTGAGTATTTTGTAAAGAAGGCATATTGGTACCCAAATTCATGATACCAGGGGTTAATAAATCATAATAGACATCAGATCCCAATAGTAGATCTATTCTTGAGAGTTCAAAGAATGTTGGATCTGCAAGGTTTATATTTGCCGGTAAATCAAGTATCTCTGTATTGATAGTAGTTTGAGGTAATTCACAAGTGACTTTTTGTAAAATCACACAAGATACTTTGAGATTCTTCTTGTCAG